GCGGGCCTTCTCAGAAGGGGAAGTTTCGGGCGTTTCGGTTTCGGCGCTCGAGGTTTTCGGGCGCCGTCGTCAGTTCTCAGCAGATCTCCCGCCTCGGGATGCACTCCGGCAGCTGCGCCTCGCCGAGGGCGCTCTGGGGGTGCCGGGATTGCCCCGAATAATCACCAGAGAGCCGAGTTATGACCGAAAAGCCACCAGGCAGAAGGGGCGGGCCTTCTCAGAAGGCTCGGAAGCCCCCCGGCCTTCCGAGAGGTTTTCGAAGCCTTCCCGACGACAGGAGGTTTCTCAGACGACGCGAGGGCCTCGGAGAGGTCCCGCCGACTTCCGAGAAGGCCTCCTTCTCCTTTCCCCCTCTCCAGGCCTCGGAAGAAATTAACGAACACTCTGGCAGCGACGGCATGGCCGCACTCGTTGCCGTGTGTATGGCCTGTGCGTGAGCGTCAACTGGGGCCTGCACCCTTCTTGCCAACCGGCTGACCGAGCCGCTCTCCGACCAGCTGCAGCGCCCCCTCCAGCACAAGGCGGCCCACCAGCAGCTCAAGGAGTGGGGGCGCGCCCCTCCCTGGCCGACATCCACAAGGCGGATCTAGCCACTTTGAGGCACGTGCCCAAGCGGGCCCGGGCGGCTTGGCCCCGCACGTTCGCCCGCTGCCTCGCGAACGCTGCGGCGCAGGACCCGGTGGCTGCCTGGACGGACCTCCAGCTGGTGGCAACGGCTGTGCTCGGTTTGCCGCCTCGTGCTGGCCGCGAGGGCAAAGCCGCGCTGGCCGCCTTCACACTCGACCGCCTCGCGCGCTGGGACGCCGGGGAGCGGCGGATGCTCTGGCAGGAGGCGAGCGCGCGCACAACGCGGGGGCAGCGGCGCCGGCGGCAGGAGGCGCCGAGGACGGAGCAGAGGGCAGCTCGCGCGGCCGCTCGCGCGGCCGCTCGCGCCGCGGAGGGCTTCTGGCGCAAGGGCCGCGCCGCCCTGACCTCCGGAGGCCTCGCTGAGCCCACGCAGGAAACAGCTCGCGCGCTGGGGCGCTTGCGCCCTCCTGCGGCTGCCCTCCCGCGGGGCCGCTCGGACCAGCTCCTGGCCGCACCCGAGCCCACGCCGAGCTCGACGCCGCGGGCGCCGCGAGCCTTCCCGGAGGGGCCGGCCCGTGGCCCCTCGGGCCTCCGGGCGCAGCACGTGCTCGGCGCCATGGCCCCGGCCACTCGGGCGACGGTTACGGAACTGCTCGCCGCGGTGTGCCAGACCCTCGCCAACGGAGAGGCCCCGCGGGAGGTGGCGCCGCACCTGGCAGGAGCGAAGCTGGTGGCGTTGGATCTAGACGACGGTGGACTTCGCCCGATCGCGGTCGGCGAGGTTCTGCGCCGCGACCGCGTCAAGGGTCGTGCGCGCCAGGTGCTCTGGCCGCTGCAGACAGGCTGCTGCAGCCCCCTCGGGGCTGAGGCCACCGTTCACGCCGTGCGCCAGTGGTTCGAGCGGAGTGCAGACGAGGACGACTAGAGACTAGATGCTACTAAAACTGGACTTTGCAAGCGCTTTCAATTCTGTGCGCCGTGACCCCGCGTTGCGCGCCGTCCGTGCCCGCTTCCCGGAGCTGGAGCGCTGGGCGCGCTGAGCCTACGCGGAGCCCTCCAATCTGTGTTTTGGCAGCCGTGTCATGTCTTCGCAGGCAGGCGTACAACAGAGGGACCCGCTGGGGCCCTTGATCTTCTCCCTCGCCGTGCACGCGGTGTTGGAGGAGCTGGCGGGCGCCGGAGATTTGGACCTTTGCGCTTTCTACCTGGGCGACGGCTTCCTCGCGGTCTCGAAGGAGGCGGTGGCGCGAGCATTGGCGACGCTGCAGCGCCGCTGCCCTGACTTGGGCCTCCTCCTCCACCTCGGTAAGTGCGAGCTCGTGGTCCCCTGCGGACGCAGGCCGGACGCAGGCCGGGCGGCCTGGCGGACCTCTTCCCCGCGCTTCTCTTGGCGGACGCAGAGACGGGGGTCGACCGCGTTGTCCTCCGAGGCGGCTTCAAGCTTCTGGGGGCGCCCATTTGGGGCGAATGACTACTGCGAGGCGTTCACCCAGCGCCGCGCCGACAAGACGAAGCCCGCCCTGGAGGCGCTCGCGGTGGGCCTCGCGCTCCTGCGCTACTGCGCGAGCTACGCGAAACTGATACACAGCGCCAGCACAGCGCCATCTGCTCTTCTCTGGGAAGCGTTGCGCTGCTTCGACGACGGCCAGCGGCGCGCGCTGTCGGACCTGCTGGCAGCGGACCTGACAGACAGGCAGTGGGGCCAGGCAGCCGGAAGGCTCGCCCGCGCGGGGCTCGGCCTGCGCGAGCTGACAGCACACGCGCCAGGCGCTTACTTGGCAGGCCTCGCTGCCACAACGCGTCTGTGCTGCGACCTTGACCCGGCCTACACGTGGGCGCCGGATAGCGCGGCTACGCCGGAGGGGCAGGCGCTCCTGGCGCACAACGCCCTGCTAGCGTCCGCGGACGGCCTCGACCCTGCGGCGCTCGACAGGGCCACGGGCGCTTCAGACTTTCTCGAGGCGCAGCCCAGCGAGCTGGGTCTCCTTTGCGAGCCCGAGGAATTCGTGTGCGAAACAAGCGCAGGCTCCTCATGCCCGTGTACGAGACTGAGCACTTCTGCCCCTGCTGCGAGGACGTCTGCGACCGCCATGGCCGGCTCGCAGGCTTGTGCGCTGGGGGCCGGGATCGTGTCCACCGCCACAACGGGGCAGGGAACGTGGTCTGCACCTTTGCCGCCAGCGCGGGTTTCAACCTGACGCTCGAACAGCCTGGCCTCCTACCGCCCCGCCCAGACGACGTCCAGGTGAATGGGCGCCGGCCTGCGGATGTCTACATTCCCTCCTGGTTCCAGGGGGCGCCTGCTGCCTTCGACTTCGCGGTGTCTTCGCCGCGCAGGCAGGCTGCCCGTGCCCTGGCGTTCCAGGAGGTGGGGCGTGCGGCACAGGAGCACGAGTTGGTCAAGAGGAACTACCTCGATACAGAGCGGCAGTGACAGCAGCAGGGGATCGCGTTCATCCCCCTCGTGGCGGAGCCCTCTGGAGGATGGGGCCCGACTGGCGCCGACGTTTTGCACAGGCTAGCCTGGGCCAGTGATCGGAGACGAGGCGAGGAGCTGGGGGCGGGCGCGGCACGCTTGTTCCAGCGCTTGTCCGCGGCGATCCGCCGGGCGACGGCGCGAGCAGTCCTGAGGAGGCACGCGGAGCTTCCCTCGACGGGTGGAGGTGTAGCCGTGGCGCCAGGTTTGCTGGCAGAGTCGGGGAGGGCGACGCTTAGCGCGCCGCGTTTTCCTCTCCAGCCCCTTCTGCCGCATCTTCCGCCCGCCCGTGCTCGGGCATTTACTTGGCATTCTGTTTTTCTTACTTTCGCACATTCGAATAACGATCCCTTCTGCTGTCGTCTTCTTCGTTCGTCGTCGTCGTCCGTCGTACGTTTCTTCCGCTCCTCTCGCCTTTCCCGCTCCTCCTCCGCCGCGGGCGTCTCCCCCCCCTTCGGGGGGCTACTCCTTGCGGCGGGTTGGTGAACGGTGCGCTCCCTGCTCCCGCTTGCGGAAGTTGTGGCGCGCGCCGTTCGTGTGGCCCCTCTGCTCGCTTGTGCCCCTCGGGTCCTCCCCCGTCGTTGCTGCTTGCTGTTGGATCGACGCGCTCACACCGCGGTGCTGCCCCGTTGATATTGATAGCTACGTCGCCTCCACCAGTGCCGCCGCGCGCCGGCTGGCAGCACGGCGAAGGGATGTATTCGACCTCGCCGCCGCTGCTTAATTTCGCTGTTGATGTGCTGGTGTATTTCGCTCTGGCTGGCGCGCTTGAGGACGAGGCCCTGGCAGCAGTCATCTGTCAATTCCCCCCAATGATCAATGTTGGCGGGGAGCCAAATGAGCTGCACTTGGACCGCAGTCTTCCCCGCGCGTGCCAACTTTGAGTCTGGGGGGGCGGAGGAGTGTCCACGAATTGTTTCTTTCAGCCGTCGCTCGCCACCCGAGAGAGGCGCCAGCTGCGCGGCAGCCTCGATGGAGCTGGTCGCGGCGCTCCTCTCGGCCTCTGCCGGCGCCACCGCGGCCGTGATCAGCTGCGCGGCGCGCCCCTCGGCGCTCGGCCTCCGTCGTCGTCGTCGGCGTCGTCGTCGTCGTCCTCGTCGTCGTCGTCGTCGTCGTCGTCGTCGTCGTCGTCGTCCTCTTCGTCGGCGTCGGCATCGTCGTCGTCGCCGTCGCAGATCGATGCGGTTCGAAAAATAGCGCAGCATGATGAGGTCTGGGGCTCTCGTCGTGATGTTTTGCGGTGTTGTGCAGTTTTTCGCGATGTGGGATCTCAGGGTCTCGAAGAAAAAAGGCATGAACATAAACCTTGTGGCGCTCCGCGCGGCTTTCTTGGATCCGCGCTTGGCCGCCCCTGGCGCGCTCCGCGCGCCAGGCAGAGGGCCCAGCGCAGATCCAAGAAATCCGCGCGGGGCGCCAGAAGTTCATGTCTATGCAGTTGTTTCTTCTTCTGGGGCCGGCCGGGGTCATCCTCGGCGTCATCTTGTGACCGTCGAAGGCTCGGATCGGCGCCTCAAGCAGAGAGCAACCATGGATGTGGACCCCTGTCCCGTCTAGGGGCCGCCACGCCTCAGAGGAGAAAAAGGTGTCGATACCGCTACTCTTGCTTCGTTTTCGCCTTTTTGGCATCCTGGGATGCTTTTGTGGTCACGGCTGGATTCGCCTCGAGTAGCGGTATTGGTACGCTTTGGTTTCCCCACCCCCGTTGGTTTGGACACTGATTGGTAATTAGAGGTATTTCTTCGCCTGGGAGAGGCAACCTTGTCGAGAAGACGCAGCGCAATACCAAATCTCGGAGAGAACATTGCCTGCCAGATCCAGTGCCACTTGACGTGCGACAACGTGCGAGCCTCGCGTTTTCCAATCAGATGTCCTTCAGGCGCGAAGCGTGTACATTACCAGGTGTTGTTGAAGTCCCTCCAGTGGATGTTGGGGGGAGGAAGAGGACGGAGGTCGGCCCGGGTATGAATGGCACGTCACGAAGGTTGTAGCTTCAGGGGTAGAGTGAAGGCGAGTTGGGCTCGATTGCGCGTACGGGTGCGGGGAGGTCAGACTGCGCGCCTCCTGACAGAGTGGATTGCGCTTGATAGGGTCGTCGTCATCGTCGTTGCCGTCGATTTCGTCATTACTATAGTTTCTTGCTAACAGTACAGCGTTAATTGGTTTTGGAGTTATTTGCTGTAGCGCGCGCTGTATGCAAGCACAGCAATAAGTCTGACTGAAGTTGATACTGCAAAGGTCTGGGCCAGGAAGGAAGAAAGGAGTTAGAAAGGAATTTGATAAGGATCCCCTGTTGCTGATCCTGCTATTTCTTCCCACGAGTCCGCCCCGTTGCTCCCTCCGAGCGACCGAGCGACCAGCAGTGGGTCGAGCCGGGTGGAGGCAGCGGAAGAGTGGAGGTGGGAAGAGTGGGATTGGGTCGATTGCACTAAAGAGTGACCCTTTGCCAGAGTGACTTTTGGTGCGGGCTCACTGGGGCCTCGCGATCGCCGAACGCGAGGCGGCAGTGGCGTCTTCCCCGCTTGTGTTTGGCCCTCCCGCGGCACCCAAAACGCGGCGCACCAAAGGTCACTCTTACCCAGGGTCACTCTTGCGTGTAGCCGATTGGGGAAGGTGGGGAGCGAGGGAGGAGAGGAGGGAGAGGAGAGCAGGAGCGGGAAGGGATGGCGGAGGAGGGGCACACGAGGAGGAGGAGGAGGAGGAGGAGGAGGAGGAGGAGGAGGAGGAGGAGGAGGAGGAGGAGGAGGAGGAGGAGGAGGAGGAGGAGGAGGGGGGGGGAGCGGGGGAGGTGAGCGGGAGCGTGGGAGAGGCGGGAGGCCAGGGGAGGAATGAGCGGACCAGCGGTCCGGTCGTATGCCGCCGTGGCCGCTTCCGAGGGGCGCGTCGGTTTGTCCAGGGGCGCTGCAGCGCGATGCCGCCGCCGCGCTGCGGCGGGTGAGCGCCCAGCAGGGGGGGGGGGGGCCGCCCGAGACAGCCAGCCCGCAGAACAGGGACGGGCAGCCTTCCTAAGGGCACCCTGGCATCCGTGCCCCTTCGGCCCACATCCTTGCCCTTAGTGGCCCCGGAAACGGCAGGGCCGTTTTTTTCACCATTTCCGAAAAAGTGTCCCTTGAAAATGGAAACGGCAACACAAACGGCTCCAGGATCGGAACCGGAGCGGGAACCCGAAAAGAACGGCGACGGAACCGGTAAACAAAACGGTGTCGGAAGCGGCGAACAAACGGCAAACCGGAACCGGTAAAAAAACGGCCTTGTCGTTTCCAGGGCCCACTAAGTCCTTGCCTGCTTCTGCTGGCCGCGCCCCGCTCGCAGAGCTCCGAAGTGGCCTTCCAAGACCCATGCATCCTTATCGTGCGTCCTTATTGGGGTATAGCGAGGACCCCAGGTAAGGGGGCCCGGTTGGTAGTAGGGTCCCAGAGCCCTTACACTGGCCAGAATCACTAGACCAGATCTGCCGCAGCTGATGTTTTTTCGGGTGACGGCAGTTCCGCTCAGTGGAACGGAGCGGGGGGGGGGGCTTCCCCTAGTGCACATCATTAAACCAGGTCCCACTAAACCGGGTTCTGCCAACGCCCGATTTCTGATACGGGTTGATTGCACTCCAGAGGCGCCGAAGCACAGAGATTCTTGCTCTGAACCCGCTTTGGTCTGGTGCCAGTTCTGGCCGTCAGCTGCGCTGCCTTGCGCACGGGGCCTCTCCACTTCTCGCGGGGCACTCTGCGCGGGACCTGCGCCGGCCGCCATCCCTCGCCAAGTACTTGCTACAGAAGCCGCAACCGTTCAGTCGGGCCTGTTCCTCTACAGGAGGAACAGAAAAATATAAAAAATAGTCTGGAATAGTAACAAAAATCTGGGGATGATTCTTTAGGCTTACGCCACACCGCCGACCCCTTGTTTTTTTTAGGCAATCTTGGACGTCTTGGGGGCGTCATGGCCCGACTTTATCCCCCGAGCCAGTACGACTCGAAAGATGCGGGGGAGAGGCTTTGCAGGGCGTGCGCCCGCAACGAGAAGGGTGGGCGGAACGAGAAGGCGGATGCAGAGAATCGCAAGCGGAAAGCAGAGGCGGACGCGAAGCCGCTGACGTGCGCGGCGTGCAAAGGCGCGTTCTCGGACACGAAACATGTGAAGCAGAAGCAAGTGGAACATCATCGACCGGCGACAGGAGCTAAAGTGGTGTGCAGAAGCTGCGAGGAAGTCGGGTTCACAGCGCGCAGTTGCCAGGCTTATCACTGCAGCGGCGCGTGCAAGAGAGGACTACCAAAGTCGGCGTTCCCCGACCCGCACAATGTCCCGCGCGACGCAAAGAAGGGCACCCTAAAGTGCAAGACGTGCAAATGATGCCCATTCGGTTGCGCGTACTGGGCAGAAAAGGGAGGACGGGAAGAGGAGGATGGGGGGTGAGGCGGAAAATGGGGGGGAGAAGCATCGGTGAGGATGAGCTGAAGCGGGGCAGGAAGAGGAGGAGGGGAACGAGGAGGAAGTGTAGGAGGAGGAGGAGGAAGAGGAGGAGGAGGGGGACACTGAGATGAGGCTCCGGGTTATGGGGTTGGGCGCGACTCGAAAAACCGGTGTGTTCGGAGATGTCCGTTGGGATCTTGCGGGGGGGCTTCTTGCGGGCCTCTTGGAGCAGTTTCGAAGGCTCTTGGGGGCCGTTTTGGGGCCTCTTTGTGGCTTCTTGGGCGCCTCTTGGAACGTCTTGGGGGCCTCTTGGGGGGTTCTTGGGGCCTCTTTGGGGCCTTTTGGGGCCTCCTGGGGGCCTCTGGGGCCGTAAGGCTGGGTTTTCCGGTGCGTGGTCTCTCTCTGGAACCCCTCTTGGGCCCGTCTCAGGGAGATTATTGGGCCGTCTTGGGCGGCTCTTGGGCCGTCTGGGGGCTCTCTTGGGCCGCCTTGGGCAGCTCTTGGGCCGTCTGGGGGCTCTCCTGGGCCGTCTTGGGGGCGTCGTGGAGGCCTCTTGTGCCGTCTTGGAGCAGTCTTGGGAGCTTCTTGGGCTGTCTTGGAGCGTCGGAAGGCCGAAAAGGCGAAAATTACGAAAACATAAAAAAAACAATGAAAATCAACGATTTTGGCCTCTTGGGGCGCTCCTCGGGGGCCTCTTGGAGGTCTCTTGGGGCGTCTTGGAGGTCTCTTCGGGCGTCTTGGAGCCCTCGTGGGGCGTCTTGGAAGCCTCTTGGGGCCTCTAGGGCGCTTCTTAGGGCGTCTAGGCGGTCTCTTGGGGCGTCTGGGGGCCTCTTGGAACGTCTGGGAGGCCTCTTGGGGCCTTCTTGGCCCGTATTTGGGCCTTTTTGGGCCCGGAAGAGCGTCGTGAGTCGCTCGCAGTCGGCCCCCCCCCCCCTCCAAATCAACCGGACCGGGTTCCCGGGGGAGGGGTTTGGGGAGGGGGAAGCATCTCACACGCCGATGACCCAAGGGGTCGGCGGATTTTTTGACTAGTCTTGACTATTTTTGCATATCTTTGGCTATTTGCAATTTTTCGCCCCAAATCCGACTGTAGGGGGATATGCCCGGCCTAACGCACCCGCCCTCCACTGAGATCCGACGTTGCAACAATATTGCACGCCAGGATCTCCGGGTCGTCCGCCGCAGGTTACCGCGCCATGCACCCCGAGGGGCACGGGAGGCGATGGGGAGAGGGGAGGGGCCAGGGGGGGGCACTGGAAGGGGGGCGCAATAGAAAGGAGGGGGCGTGGGAGGGGCATAGAGGGGAGGAGGGGGGGGCGGGGCGGGAGGGGGAGGAGCGAGAGGGGATGAGGCTGAGGGAGAGGGAGCGGAGAGCAGGAGGATGGGACAAAGGGGGAGAGGAGGAGGAGGGGAGGGAGGGAGGAGGAGAGGAGGAGGAGGAGGAGGAGGAGGAGGAGGAGGAGGAAGGAGGAGGACGGAGGAGGAGCCGGAGGAGGGGGAGGAGAGGAGGAGGAGGAGGCGGAGCGAGGCGGAGGAGGAGGAGGAGGAGAGGAGAGGAGGAGGAGGAGAAGGCAGGAGGAAAAGCAGGAGGAGGAGGAGGAGGAGGAGGAGGGAGGAGGAGGGGAGAGAGGAGGAGGAGGAGAGGAGGAGGAGGAGGAGGAGGAGGAGGAGGAGGCTGGCGCCAAGGCGGGGCCACGGCAGGGCTTCTCGCCGTTTTCCCGCCGCCGAGGCGCGTCCCCGGTCCGGCGCGCCAGGGCAGCCACGTCATGCTGCGCGCACTCGAGGCAGCGGGCCTTTTTGTTTGTTCGTTGTGTTTTGTGTTTGTTTTTTTTTGTTGTCTTGTTTGGTTGTGTATGTGTTTTGTTGTTGTTGTGTGTGTTTTGTACGTGATTTTGTTTGTTGTGTTTTTTTTGTGTTTCTGTGTTTGTGTGTGCTGTTGTGTGTTTATTGTTTGTGTGTGGTGTGTTGATCGGCGCGGGGGGGGGGGGGGGGGCCTTAGGAGGAGGAGGAGAGGAGAGGAGGAATAGAGGAGGAGGAGGAGGAGGGAGGAGGGAGGAGGAGGAGGAGGAGGAGGAGGAGGAGGATAGGAGGAGGAGGGTAGGAGGGAAGGAGGAGTGGAAGGAGGGGGGAGGGTGGGAAGGGGGGGAGGAGGAGGAGAGGAGGAGGAGGAGGAGGAGGAGGAGGAGGGAGGAGGAGGAGGAGGAGACGAGGAGGAGGAGGAGGAGGAGGAGGAGGAGGCGGAGGGGGAGGAGGAGGAGGAGGAGGAGGAGTGGAAGGAGGGATGGGAGGGGAGGAGGGGAGGAGGGGAGGGCGGGAGAGCCGGCGCAGTCTGTATGGTTATCGCCGCGTTCCCTTGCCCAGGGATCCCCAGGAATGCTGCTGCGGCCCACCCCTCCCGCGTGCTCTGGTGGGGGCTCTGGGGCTTCCGGCAGGGTGGTCTGGTGTCGGCGAGGTGCGGCGTTTGGGGTCACCCGATCTCGTTTGTGGCAAGGGCCGTGTCTCGGCCACCCTCGTAACGCGGGGGCAAGGAAGTCGCTGTCCATGCAGTTCGAGAAGCGCTTTCGGGCGGAGCGTCCGAGTGCGGGTCGGGACTTGGTTCTGCACTTATTTTGCTCGGCCTTTTGCTTCTTTCGATGCGAGAGCCTGTGGCTGCGTTTAACTGGCTCAACAGGAGGAAGAGGAGGAGGAAGAAGAGGAGGAGGGATCCGCAGGATCTGATGAGGCGGCCTGCGTCTTCCAGGCCCCGGCGCACAGGCCCGCGGCACGGACCTACGCCGCGCTGCATTTTCGAACCGCACTCCGACGAGGCGACGAGGAAGGCCCAGGGGCGACCCGCGCCAGGAAAACCAAAACGGCCCAACGGCCCGAGGCGAGTCCAGCCGCGGCGACGCGACGAGGGACAATCCAGAAAGCCGAGGCGCCCAGCAGTGGCATCGAGGCAGGGCCAATGCCTGACACAGCTGCCACCGACGGGCCGAGCCTCTCGGCCAAGCTACGGGATGCACGTCTTGAGACCGTTCGCCTTCACAAAGACGACCTTGCCGAAGATTCCACGATTCCTGGCCTTGGTCGCCTTCTTCTGGCGGGCCTTGATCATCACAACGCCTGGGATGACGAACTTACCGATGTACTTCGCCACTGACGGTGCAATGCCTTCGAGAATGCTCAAGGCCTTGATCATTATATTATAATTCTCGGGATGACGAACCTACCGACGTACTTCGCCACTGACGTTGCAATGCTCGCGAGAGTGCTCACGGCATCCTGAGCTTCTCCTTTATCTTATCTTCTCCATGGCCCCTGCGGGCTGCGCCCCCTCCCCACGCGCGCCCGCAAATGGCTCCACTGAGCCAGGGGGAGCTAAGATGAGGAGGAGGAGGAGGAGGAGGAGGAGGAGGAGGAGGAGGGGGAGGAGGAGGAGGAGGAAGAGGAGGGCGGAGGAGGGAGGAGAAGGAGGAGGGAGAGAAAGTGAGGGAGGGGGAGGAGAGGTGAGGAGGGGAGGGGAGCGAGGAGGAGGAGGAGGATGAGCAGCAGGAGGAGCAGGATGGGCAGCAGGAGGAGGGAGGCTTTGGCGGGGTGGAGGAGGGAGGAGGAGGGAGGCTTTGGCGGGACGAGGAGGGAGGAGGAGAAGAGGAGGGAAGGGGGAGGGAGGCGGAAGGGATGGGTGTGTGGGGAGGGGGATGGTGATGCTGCTGCTAATGGGAAGGATGAGGATTGCGCCGAGGGGAAGGGGGGGAGGTGAGGAGGAGGGAGGGGGAGGGGGAGGAGGAGCAGGAGTAGGAGGAGGAGGAGCAGAAGGAGGGCCAGTGCAAATCCAAGACTCATCAACGATGTTGAAATAGACCCTCCCTCCAAGATTCCTCTTCATGGTCCCCTACAAGGGATCAGTCCCACTGAGGGAATTCCCCCGTCGGGGGACAAACGTGTGGACACTTTGATGCGAGCCAAAAGACCATTCTCAGGACTTCAACGCCACGAGGTAACCTGACTGTTACGTCTTGGCGACCCTGAGCTGGACCAGAACATTATTCCAAGGACTGCAGCACCGCGATTCAATGTAATTGTCGCGCCCTGACAATCCTGAACCGGTTCAAAACACCACTATGAGAAGCAGTGGAACTTTATCGAATGTTCAGGACGGGTGTGCGCGACGCTGAGGCGAGAACCACATGTTGGAAAGGAGCCGCCCTCGATCCGTGAAGCCCTTGCAGCCTTCCAGAACGAATGTGCGCTGCGCTGAGGCGAGGGCAATATTTTTCAACCGACCCACCCTCAACCCGTGAAGCTCTTGCCAACTGTTAGAAATATTGTGCGCGGCGCTGACGGCGACAGTCACATGTTGAACACCAGCTAGCCGCCTTCAATCCGTGAAACTCTGGAGATGTTTGACAGCGAACGTGCGCGGCGCAAGGCGAGAGCCACATTTTGAAAACGGCCCGCCCTCAACCCGTGCAGCTCTTGTATCTTCTTGAAACGAATATGCGCAGCGCTGCGGCGAGAGCCACATTCTGAACACGACCCGCCCTCAATATGTGGAGCTCTTGCAGGTTTGTTGGAAGCAGGTGCGCGGCGCTAAGGCGACAGCCATATATTGAAAACGACCCGCCCTCAATCCGTGACACTTGCTGCAAATGTTTGAGAGCGAATGTGCGCGGCGCTGAGGCGAGAGCCATATTTTGAAAACGGCCCGCCCTCAATTTGTGAAGTTCTTGCAGATTTTCCAAGCGAATGTGCGCAACGCTGGGGCGAGAGCCACGTTTTGAAAACGACCCGCCCTCAATCCGTGAAGCTCTTGCTATCTGTTAGAGAGAATGTGCGCGGCGCCAAAGGCGACAGCCACATGCTGAAAACCAGCCGCCGTCGATCCGCGAAACTCCGTTTGTTTATAAGAATGCGCGCGGCGTTGAGGCGAGAGCCACATACATGCTGATCACCACCAGCCCTCCGTTTGTGAAGCTGTGGCCACTTGGTGAGCATCAGGATCGTAAATGGTGAGGAAGTCTCCAGCGAAAAGCCCGCCCCTCCTTTGACCAGCCTCAGGGTGCGACAGGTGCCTCAG